TTGCAGTCATCCAATCATGGATACAGATGTGCAGCCATAGGATTCCATGTTGCACGGGTTATGAGCCGTAAGTTCACTAGAATTTACAGTATTTTTACTCCGTTTGGCGGCATCTCGATTTCTAACGAGTGAATGGGCTCTTTCTTCGTCATTATGTCTCCCAATACTCCCCTCCCCCTGAGGGGGGGGGGGCATTTTGCACTTTGCTACTTCCCATCGACGTGTCGACCCATCTAGACAGCCTCTTCTCGAGTTGACAGGTTTTACCATGATGGCTTGACGAGCTTGCTCCAGCTTCACAAGAGTTCACAGGTTTCACCAGAGTGAGACTTGTAAACCGGAACTAGTGAAGCAACGAAAGTGCAAAATGCCCCCCCCCCTCGTCCCCGAACTGCGCCCCATACCAATTCCTCCCACTCCTACACAGAACCTATACTAAAATGTACAAAACACCTCATTACTTTTAGGAAGACCAGACTCAACATCACTGCTAGTGTTGGAGCGTTTATTGTGTCAGATGACTACGGATATGGATTCACGTGTGCGTCTGTCTGCGATTGAAGGATTGTCGCTTCTGAGCGGTGTCGAAGATGGACTCACTATCCATACCTACAATACCGTCAAAAATGTGGGTTCCCAGGTTTTCCAGGTTGCTTTCGTTATCCTACTGCACAGTACCATAAATAAACCGAATTAGCCCAAATTCGAAATGGTGGTTCGCGATGATTCCGCTTATTAATTACAAACCATTAGAGCTTTCTCGCTGACCCTTGATGTCGTCCACCTTCATTTGCGTGTGACAACACCTCACTTTGTATCCTTGCATTGGTCTCTGCATTTTCTACATCGAATTTCAGTCAGTTGGAGATTCTCACAGACAAGTACGGGTCCTTGCGCTACGCATACTATTGGTTTTTGCAAACAGGATGCCATCACTGTAGGTGTTTTATTCGTTTAGATCTTTTTGATTACTAACTACGAGTTGCTCATGAGAATTGCCTTTTACAGGCCTATTGTAAGCACTTTTTCAAAATCGTCTGACACGAAGTTACAGCTGTGTGATGATGCTTTTTCAATTGTATGTGATGCCGTGAATGATCAAGAGGTAGGACTTTATACGTTTGGTTGCAGGTGGACAGGTTTGTGACAAGACAATCGTAATATGCCGCATCAGTGGTCGTGGCAAGCGACGCCGCGCCCAAGGACGAGCTGACCTGCCTGACAGTTTCAGTTTTATTGTCAAAAGGATGAGAGGATCCTTTCCCGATATCGCCCGACATGAAGTCCTGTGTTTGCGCGAACTCGTACGAGTTTCGCTGTTTTATTCGACGAAAAGATTCAAAACGATAACTCGTCGCGCATAGCCACACGACACGCCGCGTGCGGCGACGCAAATAATTACGATTGTCTTGTCCGTCTCCTCGGATAAACCATACTTTGGTTGAGGATTCCTTAGCGTGCGAAGCTATGGCGGGGAGAAAGTTGTGTACGTTAATCTTAAAGAAGCTGGCGAACTCTTCTCCAGTTTTGGCTAAAGCGTGGCGATCTTCCAATTACACTCTAGTTCGCTGCGGACGGTTGGGCGTGTCAGCCAGTATGAGTGTGTCACCCCGTCAAAGCCGTTCTCTGCCTTCTAGTCGAAACGCGCATGTGACAAAAAGTGGTAGAAAACGAGTAATACGAAGGATATGATATAGTATTGCGACTTGCCCGCTTCAACAACTGGTGGAGAACGAGTTTGGCACCGCGCCAAACGCAGCCGCACTGACACGCCCAACCGTCCGCAGTGAACTACACTATATTTCTTCTGTATGACATATTCTGGTTACGAGCACTTCTAGATAGCTAGGTGTCAGAGTGTCTAGAATTTCGTATTTTCTGGTTCAAGAATTGTTTCTACTATAGACTTTATCAAGGTTATGGTGAGAACTGAAGCTGCTACCATCCTCGGAGAATTTAACATGGTCTCAGATTCCTTCTTAGACCAAACCTTGGATAAGAAAATGATGAAAACTGTACAGGTGGGATTCTTGAAAGACATTCTTCTTACTTAGGTAGGATACCTTATCGTTGAGTTCTTGACAGGGGTTCTGTTATAATTTTAGGGAGGGGAAGAGCGGGATCAGAGGTTTTCTCCTTGTGAGGAAGGTGCCCTGGTACTTATCCCTTGCTGTTCAGGATTCAAGTGGTAGAGAGCAAGTGAAGAAAGTTCATCAATCGCGGTTTGCAATAACACAAGGACCTCAGACCTCAACGAGAGAATCGCGATGGAAGTCGAGTCATTTGGGGATATCAACGGCAAAAGCGTACAGTGACAGCACTTCACATTTCGAAAAGGTTTCGACGCTTCTGAGTCGTTTTCATGAACTCAACCAGACTCTTCTTCAGGGCTGTAAGTAGTGAGTGGTCATCCGGAAAGGAACTAAATGCTCGTTGCCCTCCAAGTGAATCTGCTGCTGCTCAGGACGATGAATCCGAAAGCATAGTTCCTCGCGGTGCTTGTGGCGCTTTTGTCTCTGCATTGGAGGACGAATTCATGTGTGAGTTAGGAATTGTGTGCTGTTTGGCTTGGTAGGGGCATTTTACAGGTTCCCATCGATCACTTTCGGTGCCCTGTGTAAAGACCTGTAAACTCCTTCAAAACCATGCAGTAGCAGGAGCTTTGTATACACTTGACAAGCCTGCAGGTCTCAGACGTGCATTCAGCAGGAGCTAGCAAAGGACTACAAAGAAGGTGCAAAGTGCCATTCCTGAGCCGAACAGCACGTGACATCGTTTCATCCGGATGAAAGGTGGAATTTGCCGGCATACGAGGCTAAACCAGGGAGTTGAATGAAAGCAGTACCCTGGGGTCGTTTCTTGTATTCAGAAGTGATTTCCAACAAAGCAAGATCGGTGACAAATTAGAGTTGGCCCTGAAAGCGAACATGAAGAATTATCTCTTTTTAGAAGTTATGTGATGTTGAATGTGGTGTTGGGAAAGAATGGCTCGAGAAAAATAGAGGTTCTATTTGCCCTGCTGCGGGGGAAAGGGGGGAGGGTGGACGAGGTATCAAAGGACTCCTGTACAGGACTAGCGCTCCGTAAGGCAGATGAGTAGGGAGAGAAGGAGTTTTCTCTGGGTAAAACGAGGCTTTCGCGCTGCAATAACCCCGGTTTTGCATAAGGAGTCCTTAAAATGCCTCACCTGCATGCCGAACTGTTCCAAGATAGTCACAATGTTTCAGCAGTGCGACGTGCTGCCGTGTATTCCTTGGGCAAACTAGCTTCAACGCGGCCGTCTTTTGCAACGACCGCACTGGATCATCTTGCCGATATGTTCAATGACGAGATTGTGGAGGTAATTTGCTTGGATGTTGGTTCTTTGAAAATAAATGCTAACATGTTCCCTTTAGGTACGATTGGATGCGATTGCAGCGTTGACACCGCTGATTGTACATGGTGAATTGCAGAAGGAGCAGCTTGAAACAGTGCTGAAGTGTCTTGATGTAAGGCTTGGATTCTTCTTGTTTAGTTCAATGGCTCTAGAGTAATAAAAACGAACCCAACACTTAACAGTTGTCTTGACTTATCTTGGAATCAATGGAAATAGGCTTCGTTTTGAGGTATTTGGACGAAAAAGAAAGTATTGGTACCAGGTCTAGCGCTTAGACAACCAGGATTTAGCGTTCGGGAGGAACTCCAGCGTTTTGCGTTTGGAAACGAAAGCGAAACGTTTGGAGCGCTCGAAGCGCTAGATCGACTCCTATACAACGCTCTGAACGCTTCAAAACGCTAGGTCAATGCCTATTCTTCCCTTTCCGCTCAAAGGGCCCAAAATACCGACGAAAGGAATGGCACAGCTTTACACAGAATTTCAGGATGCCATTGTGGATTCTCGACAGGCTCTACGTGATCTTTTGGCAAAGGCTGAGTTTGCCGATGCGGAGTGCATGAGAATTTGTGCGAGAGCGCTATTGAATTGTTTGCATCGTTTTCCTTCCGATAAAAATCAAATATACCGGTAGGCTCGTTTCTAGTTATTTATACATTAAACATAGTGAGTTGAGAGCAAGACAAATCAACTTATTTCATTGTTTATATAACTTTGGAATTGTTTGTTGCAATCGCTTTGTGTACAACGCAAGTCCCCCATGTAACTAACAAAAAAAAGCGACTTACACCTTTCTGACAGAAGCTGTAAGCCCTAGCATCGAGTTGTGTAAAATTTTGGGTGGAATACGATCCCCTCCCCCAAATATTCCCATTGTGCACGAACCCTTCACTGCGTATTTTCCCAAGATTCTACTGACAAGCGGCGGCATAGCGCGGGTGCTCTCCAAACAACTACCACAGTCTGCTCTTAGAAATAGTGACCGCAAAATAGTTGTCCAGCTATCGGCCGCCCAACTAGAGGAAGTGCGGGGAGGGAGGACAGGTGAGCGCCCAAAACGGAAAAATGATTTTCTCGAAGGCAGAATAGCTTCCAATTCCGTTGTTTTTCACAACGAGTGTTATGCACCGGTTAGGAATACAGCGACTGTACGAAAAAAGACTTCTAGAAAACGGGCACCGTGCCTACGGCACATGGTGTGTGCACCTCTTTCCTCTACGTTTCATGTTGCAGATGTCTGAGCGAAGTCGGTGCTCGTCACGCTGTTTTTGTGCACGGAATGGTTCGCGAACTTCTCGGTCTTCACCTCGTATATGACACAAGGGAACAACAAATAGACGATGTTTTTTGTGAGTAAAAATACAGTCTTATTGGCTGCGGACGCTGGGGCGTTTCAGAAGTAGGGTTTGGCGCGGCGCCAATTCGTTCTCCACCAGTTGTGGTAGCTGGTCACTACAGTTGGTGGAAACTGTTTAGCTCCGCACCAAACTCAGCCAGAATTGCGAGTATATTTGCAGATATCGCTAAACTCATCCTGGTGTTGAATGCGGCTGCCAATTACGAACCCATTGTTTCGCTACTTCCCGAGTGTGTTCTAAAGCACTACCGGTTCCTTCGCGCTGCTGCCTCCGATTTAGTTGCTCCAATTAAGGTGAGACAGAAGGACTTTGTATGGCTTCAGAATTAAATGACAATCTGAAGGGGTTTTTGCAGGTTCTGGAGAAACTCAGCGCAGGTGTGCCAGCATCATCGTGTCCCTCCAAGGAACTTGCGAACAGTACGTCCGATATTTTGATGAATGCTTATGAAAGGTTGCAGGAAGTAATACGTGAACCCACGTTGGCTGATAGAAATGCTCTGCGAAGGCTCATTGTTGAGTAAGTGCAAGAATTTATACAGTACGCTTGTTTTCTAAAAAAAAAGTGATGTGCCTGACTTCCAGAGATGCGAATGCTATTAGTGCCTTTAATGAGCCCCTTGCTGGTGCTGCTCGTTTCATTGCAAGTTTATGTGAAATTAGCTCCGCTTTGGAATCTCTTACTCAAGTCGTGCTTCGTGGAGGTGGAGATATTAGAGATGCATCCAACACAGTTCATCAAGTAGGTCATTTCAGTGAATTGCATGTCCAATTTAACTGCGTAGTTTACTTTAACGTGAAAGCGGTGTAGAGGCAGGTGTGTGGTCAGACAGCAGGGTACGTCGTCCGTTGAATACTAAGCGGGGGGGGGGGAGGGAGACCGAATTTCGGAAAAAGTGGTAGAGAGCTGGTCGTAAGATAGTAGGATGGAAAAGGGGCGGGGTCATACCAGAGGAAGAACTTTGGGAGTCGTAATTACCAGTTTTTTTCCGCAGCGGCAGCAACTGACCTGTCAACCAGACTTTCACCATCATTGTGTACTGATAAATTGGTTTCCTACCTTTGGAAGGATAAAACAGTGCCTCGTATATCGATTGCCCCCCCCCCTCCAGTCACTATGTGCGCCACACCGCTCTCAAAAGCTACTTCAATCTTGAATGGAAGCTGACGGCGTGCAGCGTCTCAAAAAGTTATCGATCAACGGCAAAAGCTCTACCATTTGAACATTTAGCCCTATAACATACATTTCCACGTTTTTTCTCCCTCTCTTCGATGGAAAGAATAAAATCATCGCCGTTGATTAATCCCTTTTTGGGATGCACCACTCATTCTACCTCCATTCAGGATCGCAGTGGCTGTTTTGAATGCGATGTGGTCTCTACATAGCTTGGGAGGGTCGTCAGTGCGTACAGTCAATTTATACCTCCTCCAGACGAATCTAGGCACGATTCACCGTCCGGGACGTAGAAGACCTCAGTCCGGTCCGGGAGCAGTGGCAGTTGACCCTTGGACTGGCCGGGCGTGGTGCGTCTGTCACTTGCCCTAGACCGCACTCACAACGTTGTTTTATCCGACTGAGGAAATGTGCAGTGCTTCCTTAACCTTACAAGCTCGGCCTGCACTCTGACCTACCTGATGTTTCCTTTAGGGGATGTTGGTTGCGAATACGCTGCCGCCGAGCATCAGTTTGCGCGGACTACCTCCAGAGATGGCTTCCTTCTTGATCGAAGCAGGGATGTTTTTGTCATTGTTGGAACTGCTCGTGGAAATGACTATTACTCCTGAGCGTTATGCTCAAATTGTGCTGAGCATTCGCGCTGTCATCGCAGAAGCTGAGACGGTTACAGTGACGCCATCTGTTCATTGGACTTCGAGTACTTCACGAAGATGTCTTTCAGCTACGCATGCAGGGCAGTAAATGGTGAACCGTGCGAGCAGGCTGTAGCCTTGATCTCTGCGATATTGGATCCTTTGGAGCGTTCCACTGGAGAGAGCAAAAAGATCTTGTCTGTTGGTACCTTTGGTCATTTTGCTAGCAACGCACGCGCCGTTTCTACCGAATTCGTTCCCTGACGTGGGAAAGATTCGATCCAAATGGGCTCAGGTGCTCATTTCTTCTTCCTTTTTCTATTGTCTATGAAGTAGCACGTCGGTATTTACCGGTTACTCAGTTGACATTCCCAGTGGTAGCTTGAGTTGTTAATACTCATTTCGGATTATATACTGTTGCGATTTATGAGCAACCGCGATGTAGCAAAATCGAAAAGCCCATTCGTTTTGTTGCTGGTTTACCTTGTGCTGTAAAATTTGTTGCTTCTCTTCACAATCTTTCTGAAAACGACCTCCGCAATCTACGGGTGCAGGTATGTTACACCTACCTACCATGTATCTTTTTCAAATTACCAGAACCTTACTTTTCTCGCGTAGTTTTCAGGAATATTGCAGTTTTTTTTTACAGGTTGACTATCCCAATAATACACGGGGCTACTTCAGACCTCTGGCTACTGATATTTCTAGCAAGATGGGACGTGTGGCGTCTTCTGGTAAATTCCTTAATTATTTCTTACGCTTATTCTCTTTGGCCCTGCGTTGTCAGTCTCTACGCAAAGCAATAAATGCTTCACTTCTACGGTTGTTTTATAGGTGTTGATCTCATCTTCAGAAGCATGGAGTGATGCGGCTGATGTGACCTTAACCCTTGTTCTTCTTTCGGATTCATCTCAGAAGGCTGTTTCAGGTGAGATGTCTGTGATTCTGGACAGTATGAAGCGTTGTCGTTTGCTCGGCCGCCGGTTTCTGTTTTCTCATCTGTAATTTTTTCAGTGCCGCTGCTCGACTTCGCCCAGTAGTGCCCAACCGGCTTCAGTTCGATTACGAGCCCATCCGATGACAAGAACATAATTACCTGTATAGAAGCACTAAAAGAACTGTTTATAAATATGTATGTTAGTTGTGACTTTTTCAGTGAGTACTGGTTGCTTTATGGCAACAAATTTATTACCGGAGGGATATACAGCTTCATGGTTTTCTTGCTCTTTAAACCAAACCCCTTTGTGATAACCCTGGGGCAAGTTCCAGTAGTATTCGTTGTCCCAGTTTTTCAAAAATTATATCGCGTAGTGATGAGTGTGTGAGATCGATTGATTGAAGAACAAAGTTTTTTATTTGTTAGCTATTAGATCGAAACAAAATGTTCATCCCAATGGAATTTTTGCAAAAAAAAGGAGTGACTCGGAAACTTGTCGAATCGGAAATCTCCGGACCATAATCTGGGAGCAGCGGAAACGGTAAATGGCTTTCGTGAAGGTTCGCAAATTAACTTTGGCTGGAAAGATTAACAACGGGTGTCGTCTCGACTAATAAGTCATTCATGATGAAGAAATTTTATCGAAAGTCACTCCGCTAGGCCACCATAAGAAAGTGATCAGAGTGCGCGCATACCACACACGCTCACTTCGCGACGGCAGCGCTTCGGTCGCGCGTTCGACGCGATCGATGCGCATGCTTTCGACTGCATCGATCGTCGAACGCGCGACCGAAGCGCTGCCGTCGCGAAGTCTGAACGCTGCCTTAGTCGGTTTTTTTTTTGGTGCGGCAACATTTTGAGCGATTAGGAAAGCACGAGTATGGTGCCGAGCGAACGCCAGCCCGCGCAAAGAAAAACCACTAGACCGACACCTATATCCCACTCAGAACTCCGAACTTCATACTTCGCGAGTATGAACCCAGGGTTTCAGGGTTGACTCCAGGTTCTGTTTTGAGTTTACCGGGATAGAATTTAGCTTTTAATTAAACGGATTCTTCAAAAGGATAAAACTCTCGCTGTTGACGGTAATTTTTGAGGATGTGACACGCATTCTACAGCAATTCAAAATCGTAATAGCTTACCGACAGTGAATCAGCGGATGCACAAGTCCATCCACCCTGAGGATTCCGAGACAAATTCACCGTTCCCGAAGGGTAGAATTTGGCTGGCCCTCTACCCTTGGGGACCGTGAAGAGTGGGAGCCGATCCGGGATTAAAGTCCCAGACCGCGTGTGTGGTAAGCATGCCAACGCACGTCCGTACAGTTAGAGCAATAGTTTATCGAAATTTCTTTCATATTATTATTGAAATGTTGGAGCACATTGAAAGTCGTTCTCGTTTTACAAACGACAACACTTTGTTAAAACGAGACAATCAAACGTTCTCAAAGAACATGCCCATCGTACGATTTTGAATTGAAAATGAAAGATGACATTAACGGCAGCAATTTCTAGCGGACCAATTCTCAGGCCTACGTTATCATGCGTAAGCGCTTTACCAACTATTCGATGAACAACCGTAAAACGCTAAACATCAAAACGTAACTATTGCTTCTAAACAAGTTCTCATTATGTCCAAACTCAAACAAACCTATTGAAAGAATTAGTATTATAGTAGCACTGAATCACAGATTTTACACGTATAATGCGAGGATAGCGGCCCTTCAGCTATGACAACACAAATGGCGAAACACTGGCTCCTCTCGGCCATATCTCACTCCGACTGCTCAGAAGAACGTTACGTTCCACATCCCGCAGATAGAGTGGGCGTGGCCACGGTGCATTCATACTTGACGTAGGATGCGTTTTTTCGTGGGATATGTTTGATAGCTGTCATCCTGACTTATTTCGGACAAAGACATGATTACAAATGCCCCGAAGCGGCGGAATCCCGCCAAAAGCACAGCCGCCAGCACGTTCTCATAAAAAGCCGTGGACACACCCTC